AAAAAATACTTTTTGCTACATGTTAGAGTTTATGTCTGAGAGGATGTTTATGGTTTGTTTTTTGTATTTACTTCAGACACCGTCTGTCTATCATTTTGAGTAGTTGACTGTGAATGTCAGACTTGAAGCATCTCAGAAACAGTTTTTAAAATATAGAACTTCTCTATCCCTGGATACCAGAATCTGAACTTCATAGATACTTCAGCCATTTTTGAAAGGATTATATATTCAGTTACAGCCTTCTTTCTGATGTTTCAATGGAGACAGAGTATGCTATGTGAATATTTTTGTAATCAAACATGTTATTTATTTTACTCATGGAACCCTAAAATGGTAAGAAGTAGAGCAGATTAATAACTTAGGAATGCATGCTTGCCACCTTTAATTACAAGGCATTGCTAAATTAGTGAAAGCTAGAAGCCATTTTAGCACACAGGACTAGTTGAACAGTGGGTGGATTCAGATTCCTTATGTTGAATGCAGCTTGATTTCCAAGTCAAATGTGCCTATGTGATGGATCTGTGTGGCACTTTATCCATTCTAGTAATAGAAAATATATTAAACTTAACAGTATCATATACTTAGGAGCAATAGACTCAGTATAGTCAACAGCTGAGTGTTTCTGGCAAGAAAAAAAATGCCCTGCTATCAGCAAATCCATACAACATTTGTGGCTATTTTCTTGGCTTTATAAACCTGTGCCCATCTTTTTCTTAATAAGGTTGGCTGTGTCCAGAAGTTTTAATGTGGCCTGGAAAATATTTTCTAGTATCTATAAGGTTTGAGCACCTGCCTTCATAACTCCTGAGAACTTACCTCAAATACATAATCAAGGATTAAAAAAGTATTCTAGAAAGTATTCAAAGTGTGCACATAAAGAATATATTAAAACTAGTTGCAGTGTCAGAATGTATGTGGATCAAGTATCATTTACTAAACATTATCTCGTAGGATAATCTCAGATAAAACCACTGAGGAATTTATGTTAAATATATGGAAATTAAAGTAGGAGATCAAATGTGAAACTTCTTTGCCTACGGATACCTGTAATTATGCAAAACAGCACAGTGGTTATCTGTCATAGCATGATCCCAGCCTTCATTCTCATCTCTCTCTACACATATACACAAACATCTTTGTTGTGATTAAAAAGGCTAATTAATTTTATAATTAAGGGATTCAAAACTTCTAACATAGTTAATAATTTTCAATGAAATGTAAAAAAGAAACAAAGAAATAAAAAGGTGTTTCTTAAATCTTCCACGAACAGATTATTCTATAAATTTGTTGATTTTCTTAATAGCATCTTCCCAATGTTTCTGGCTTATCTTATTTTGTGTGTTTTCTTCACTTTAATATTAAAACACAGTTTATTTTAATGAGTCTAACCCAAGCAGATTATGATTCAGAATGTTTATACACAATTTGGTTTTGGAAGCAGCACTGACATAAGCAGTCTAAAAATAAAATCAGAAAGGACCAAACCAATCACTGGACATATTTGCTACAGAATTAAAAAATATTGTAACATGTAATCAAAATCATAAACATATGCTGGAAAATTGTTTTAACAGAAAAAATTAACTCCTCCCAAATCGATGTCACAAAGAGTTTTACCTGATTTAAAAATATTAACTATGCACAATTAATATAATTAATTGCATGTAATTAAAAGTACACTGCTCAAAAAAATAAAGGGAACACAAAAATAAGACATCCTAGGCCTGAATGAATGAAATATTCTTATTAAATACTTTGTCCATTACATAGTTGAATGTGCTGACAACAAAATCACACAAAAATTATCAATGGAAATCAAATTTAGCAACCCATGGAGGTCTGGATTTGGAGTTACACTCAAAATTAAAGTGGAAAAAAACACTACAGGCTGATCCAACTTTGATGTAATGTCCATCTTGAATTCCTTTCCCTTCTACAGACTCTCCTGACTACCAGAGATTAGAACTGTGACCCTGATGAGCAAACAAGCATTTACCATTCTCCCCAACTGAAGATACATCTTCAGTAAATGAGACTGTTTGCTGACATTTTTGCACAATTGTTGTAGCCACACAGTGCCAGCTACTTTCTTGCATGAATAAATGTGATACTCACAGGACTTCTGTTCTCTATCAGTTCTTGTAATGCCATATTCTGCTGTCTGCTTGAACAAATCTTTCTGTGATTTTCCCCCAAAGTACCCTTATCATTTTGTAATATAGGTCATTCCCTCATTGGTGATTTATATGAACTCTGAACATCCTTCAGAAATTGTTGTGCTGATTTAGCAAAAAATAAGAAGAGGCTTTGTATCAGCTCAGTGTTGCTGTAAAGACATTTTAAGAGACAAAGACCACATAGGCCAAGAGATTAACTGAATCAACTGATCAGCTGGAAAACCCTGTAGAGATTCTTTTTTTGGAATGGAGCTGCAGAAAATATATTAAGTTTTTGTCTTTTTTCTTTTCTTTCCAGAAGACCTTCCTAGAAGATATTTCTCTCTCCCTTTCTCTCTCTCTCTTTGTGTATGTGTGTGTGTTTGTGTGTGTTTCTTTTAAAGAGGAAGTGGATGGCATTGTAGAACTAGAGAGAAAATATTCCAGTAACAGTAAGCACAATTTGATAGAACATTGTGGATGTCTCATTAAATGGAAATAGGTAGATGACATATCCATTAATAAAGAAGCTGCTATATATAAAAAAATCAATTTCCCATTCGACAGGACACTAGTTAAGTTATTTCCTATCAGATTCTCAAGTATAACTGGCTTTTGTCTATCACACCAATCTTTTTTTTTTTCCTGAGCAACAAAGTATAATAAAAATGAAACTATGGGACTGCATTGTTTCCACTTTTATTTTCTACCAAGCTGATGTTGTATTCTAGAGAACAACATCTTCCCACTTATTTATGTCTTTTAATTCATCCCACTTAAACCTCCCTATAAATCATTTTATCAACATCTTCTCTGTGATTTAGCCTCAGGCTTCATGTTTGGTGGTACACGTAGTGTTCAGTTCTCTTCTCTTTTTTATATAATCCAGCAAACATTTTGAAGATCAACTTTAAATGGAGACTAGGACACAGGGAAATAAAGTTTAATTATGTTTAAAATTTTGAAACTGATAAGGAAAGATTTAAAATTCCAATTTGTGATGATCTAGATCTAAATTAAACTATGCCTTATCTAGAGTAAATAAGTGAAGAAGGAGGCTTAACACTAATACATCTGAAAAGCAATCAATCTGAATCTTACTTGGAATTATTTTTCAACCGGGGCATGGATCAGGCAGTCTTTTTATATTGAAGAATTATTTTGAGTGTTTCTCCTTTCTAAAATAGGAAATAGGGCTATCCTGTGTTGACTAGGGTTTCTCTGATCTATCTCTCGTTCTTTAAGTAATCATTTTATTTCAATATATAGGTCTCTCTTTGTGTTACAATCAAACTCAAACTGGTTTAGTACTATAAATCTAAAGTTTATTAGAAAAATGAGATCTTATAAACATATGTCCCTCCTTTAAAAATATCTTATTTGAGATAGTGCAATGCTTACATTCAAGCAAGTCTGGATGTTCCACTCATGCAGAATATGATACCTCGTTTTGGGGACCAGACTGTAAGAAATTGGGCTATGTAAAAAAAAAATGATATGACAATGATTTGATGAAATATCTGAATTCATTCTCTTTCTAAACATCCATCATTTCTAAGCATCAAATAGACTCAAAAGCTTCTGAAATAACCTGGAGAAACTTAAGTTCCAACATAGGCCATAAAGTAGTAATTATTCATATCACGGCTAGAGAAAGTATGTAAAGTTGAATATTCTCAGCATTCAGCAATTCTCAGTTAATATTTTTAGTTAAATATGTTAAATCTCACTCCTATGATTTATTTCTAGCTAAATAAAATATAAATCACCTGGCAGACAATAAGTTATCCACATTGGCCATAAATATATAGAGAGACAGAAAATGGATAGAGAATGGACAAGAATATTTTCATTATTTTTGACAGATTAAGAGTTTGGACACTGTGCAATTCCTAAGCACTTTTGAGAGAATACATATTACAATTTTGTGTAAAACAAATAGCCAGTGGAACCTAAACACTTTTTCTTTGCCAGGAGCAACAGATTGAACACATTGGACACTTTTCTCTATTTTGGAACTGCAGGTTATAGTTTTATTTGGGAGTAGTTATAGACAAATATTTTCAATAAAGTATAAGTGCATTTATAGCTCAGGGTGGAAATGAGGGGGTCCTTTTTTGCTCTTTGAGCTTGGATGTTTTCTTGCAGACATTTCATCACTAAAACTAGGTAACAAACTATAGGCTGGTAGGTGTGACCATTCCCACCACCACTGTAAGCCACTACAATATAAACTGAGAGCAAATGTTACTCCTTACTAGCATTGATAATTATTTAGTTTGATACTAAACCATCTGCAAGAAAACAACCAAGCTCAGAGAGCACCAAGGATGCAATTATATTTTCCATTCAAAAAACTCACTTTAGAGAGATGGGCAATTTGGATGTCTATTTAGAGCTTTGAATACTTGTTCTAATAGTCATTGTAACCTATAAATACATTTAACATATACTATGGGCAGACATTCATACATAAACATAATTTTTGTCATATTTTCTTTTTTATGTTTACAAATTAATACTATCAATTGTGCTATGGAAGATATACTGGACCATTAGAAGAATTATAAAGAACTCTATGGACTGATTGAAAAAGCATATGTTTTATAACAAATATATTTTTCATAAGCATACAGTACTATATCTTTTATTTTCCAAAAACCTCTTAATAGAATAATGTGCCAGTTTATGCATAACACGGAGGAAATGAGAAATGCATCTGTCAAAATATGGAAGGCAACAGTAATTTCCTTCCTGCTGATTTACTTGCAGAAAATGTTATTAGCTGTTCCAAACAGCATACTGTATGGATGGTACTAAAGTCCAAATAAACAGATAATTTATCTCAAAACTCTGGAAAGATTTCCAGAGTTTCCTGATATATTATATTCATAACAAGGACACTCAGACAAAATTAATATAATCATAAATATCTGCCTTAACTATATAGAGGTGTTAAACCATAAAACATTGCTGTCTATGTGATACTATACCCAGGAATGATCATAGAATAGCAAAATAAGAAATCTTTGATAGATCCCTTGAGAATCAAATCCTGGTGTAGCACGATTACACTACTTTTTTTCCCCCAGTAAATCAGGCTGGGAAGTTAATGTTCAAAACTTACAGTTCAAACCCATTAAGCCAGAGTAATATGACTCAAGATTTACCATTTGGTCTAATTAGACCTTTTAATATTTCAAAGATAAAAAATTGAAACCATCTATATGCTTCTAAGGTTTACATTTTCACATTATGCATTGTTGCTTAAACATTATAGATAGATGTCCAAGGATTTCTTCTTCTATAGAATACAATCAGACATGTTTTATTAACTTGCGCTAAACTATACATTATTTCAAAATATACTCAATGTCATTGTATACATCAGCATGTCTCTGTAAGACTGACTAAACTGTGAGGGATGCCTCAATGTCTAAAATAATTTTGGTTTTTAAACATAACTTTGATCTAATTTGAATTGGAAACTTTTCTAGAATTAAAATTTCATATCTGGAATTTGGTTTCTAAGAATTGGAATGATGCTAATGACTTAGTATCAGGGATGGGATTTTAGCGGTTCGGACTAGTTCAGGTAAACCGGTAATTCCAGTGAGCACCCACCCACCCCTGCTCTTTCCTGTGCTTTCCTGTTTTTTAGCACAGCAGATATATATTTTTTAGTTTAAAGCTCAATTGAGATATATGGATTCTATTTAGAAAATAGATGTGAAGAATTCATGGAATGGAGTTGGGATGGCTGAATGGAACTGAGCATTTGCTAGTTGGATGCCTTTCCTAATGCCTATGTGGAGCTCACAGCAGATATTTAATATTTGCACGCTGACAGTTGTGTGTGTGTGTGTGCACAAAAATCTTTATGTATAAATAAAATCCAGTAAAATTGTAAGCTGCTCAGAGTCACTGAGTTGGGCAGCTATGGAAATAAAATAAAATCAATCAAAATGATGAACAAATTAAAAAGTAAAATCGCTTCAACAAAAGACCTTTTGAATCTAATTTATGTTTTTTTTAAAAAAGAACTACAGATATCAGAACACTTGTATTAGTAAAAACTATTATATGAAGGTAAACTTTGTTCTGTAAAATATGTGGTTATTTTTAAAATGATTTTATCATTTTGTACAACCATCAAGTAAAAATAGCTCCATATTTACTGTTAGCTATGATCATCCCCAAATGGGTAACAATTGTTTTTATCCTACTTCATGCTTCAACCTCCTAAGGGAATCCATTTGTCTGATTCTGTTATCACGTTAATATAAATGTTGGGGATGGATTAGATGGATTAGCTAAATAGCTATATAGAGATCCATAGGTTAGATAGGCAGTGATATATAGTTGATTAATAAATTAGGTAAATATTCCTGCTCTGGAGCTCTGGACAATTAAACTGGAACTAAAGAATCTGAAAGAAACAAGTTCAATTTATCTGCTCCACTTCAAAGACATGAAAAACCTGATTGGAATTATTGAACTTTACCTTGAGATCAGGGATATGTGATAGTTTTACAAAAGAAATAATTAATTTGAAGTTCTGCTACAAAGATGTTTAATCTTCCAAAACAAAACCAATTCTCTTATTTTTTTAAAAATAGCCAAAAGCAAAGCAAAGAAAGAAAAAACTATCCGAACTTGATTCATTTGAATAAAGCTAATAGGTTTTCTTCCTAGTTATTCTTTTAAAAATGACCTGTCCTGAGAAACAATCCACCATTTCTGTCTGTATGATTATGTTCATACATTATAAACCTTACCACTACAAATGTTTTGATTTTACCTTTTATATTTATTATCTTTATGTGATTGAATATTGATTTATATTGTTTTATATATTTTATTATGTATTTGGCACTTTGTGATTGTAGATACTTCAAGAAGCTCTGGTATAAGAAACAGAATACAAAAATAAATATATTATAATACAATAACATTCCTTTACTTAGACTTCTTTAGCACTTTGAATTACTGAATGGAATTTTACATTATATCTGCCCATATTTTATAAAGGAAGGACATAAAACAAAAATTGGATTATACTTCATTAATAAATTCATTAATAAATATTGCAGTCATGATCCTTCTTTATCTCTAGGACAATGATCATTGGCAATTATTTGTTATGCTATTTTTCCTATGTACATACTTGCATATATTGCTCATTTTTTAATGTTTGATTGCATCACATATTTAAAGCAGATACTTATGCCAGATCAATTATATTCAGGATTATAAAAATAATGTGGGTGGCTGCCAACCTTGAAAAATTGATAATTTCAAGTTCATGTATTATTTACAAGGTTTGGCTACTTTTCCAAAAATTTATTGGAAGCAATTTGAAGTATTTTATTATCAACAGAATGATGATAGAATAATGCTGTAGATTTTGGAGACATTTCTGTAAGGGTTAGAAAAGAAAAAACACCAGATATTATGGGAAGGGTGAGACATCAGACAGCAGTACTGTTGAGACTAACTATCTTTAGAACTCCTAAAGGTGCTTTTTCAAAGAAAAACAACTGGACTTTCTTTGTTTTTGCTTGAAGGTGTCTAGCTTCTCATCCAAGAAGCTTCTTCAGAACAGATTCTACAACTCACCAGCAGAACCTATTCCATGCAACGGTAGCTTCAGTCTTTGTCTTCCAAGGAAGCAGGTTCTGTTCTGAAATAGACAAAAAAATAAATAAATGTGTCAGCTCCTGAAGAATGGATCCCTGTGAAAACAATTGTTGGGCTTGTGGGAAGCTGTCCACCCGCTTCCTAGAAGAATGAAATATGTTGGTAAATATTAAAAAGGCAGAATATTATATTTACCCAAAGGGACAAATGTAAAAATACGTTCTTAAAGACAGAAAGCAGTTTCAGTCTTTCTTACTAGCCCTCCCTCCCCAGCATATATG